AGATAGATAGATAGATAGATAGATAGATAGATAGATAGATAGATAGAATTGATTAACTCTCCGGCACCCTTCATGTTTCGGGAAGTGCCAAAACAGGACACCGCGTCTCCACCCCAGATGCGATAATGTGGCTTGAATTAATGAAGCCTGCGCTCATTCACTGAACTCAACACAGAGGGGGGGGGGGGAAGACGAGCTTCCGTCTCAAGAAGGTGGGAGGTGTCACGTGGCGTTTGGCTCACGCCAATCAGGAGTAAGTGCGCATTGCGATCCTGTGCAGAGGGATTGTTTTATTGAAGGGCTGATTGAGATCAATGGGAGAGCGGAGCTGTCCACGGTGCTGAAAGTTAGGTCTTGATAGGCTGACTTTGAGGGCTCCCACAGACCTCCTCTTTCCGTTTTTCTCTGTCCGAGACGTCACATTTGAACACACAGGTGTGACGTTGAGCCACACGTGTCTTTTGAAACCCCCCTCTCACCAGCTGTCCACAATCTTTTTCTCTTTTGTTTCCACGGGTGCCGCTGCTTGGTTTCCACACGCAGGAACGCGCAAACCGTGTGACACGCGTCTTTACGACCCCACTGCAGCTGGCGCAATGAAAGCCTCTGTAAGCAAAGTGAGCCTCTCTGACTAAAACCCCGCCGAAAAGGCAAAAATCATAACCCCCGGTATAACTTAACAGCCCGGAAACCTAATTTGTTGTCGTTCCAGCAAAAGGCACGAGGCACGGCTGGGTTTCGGGACGTTTTTTTTTGTTTTTTTTTGCCTTGCGCTTCCGCAGCCGCTCAATCTCGGGTTTGAGGCTGTATTTCCTGACGGTGACATAACTCTTCTGGGCCCGTTAATAGCGCGGCCGCCGCTGGCCACATCAATCTGCGGCTGCTGGCCATGCAGGAGCCACAGGCCCGCGCACGGTCAGTGGCCGGTGAGCTGAATGGAATCAGACCCCCTGTATATCAGAGCTGACAGCCAGCTGCGCGTGTTTCCTATGAAGCCAATAAATGTGAAATCAATAGGGAATTTATGATCGGCCTTGGAGAATGGGTGCAGTGAGCGAAACGCTAAATTACGTCTGTGGAGAATTGGCAGTATTTCACGGGTCAGCGGTGTGTAGATTAAGTGACATTTGGGAACCACGTGCATGTTATGAAAGGGTTATATGAAGTAACTTCAGGTCTTTTTTTCTGAATGTAAAGGAATCTAAAAGCACTAACACAACCGTTTATGTTGATCCTGATGAAATGAGGCAGGGCTTCACGTCTCATGGTTGCAACCTTTTTCATGACGTGGAACCAGTTGTTTTGGTTCCCCCCTCTGCCCAATCGGAGGCACTCCTCTCACCTTCTACCGAAGCCGAAATGGATCCATCCAGGCAGCGGCTCCGTCCCCCAGCGCGGACCAGAACGCCCTTCGTAGGGGGCTCCGCGGTGCCTGCTGCTGCGTGCCGCTGCTGCTGCTGCCGCTGCCGCTGTGCACGGCAGCACTGACATGGAAACCTCCCTACAGCTGCACAACGATTGCTTTCCGGCGCAGCAGTTCCAGCATTGCAAGTACCAGCACTACTGCGGGCGGGAGGATCGCCGCGGCCAGCAGCACGACCAATCCCGCACCTGCAGCAGCTGCACCTGCGATGCCAGAAAAAGCCTCGTCTTCCGCGGGACGTCGCCGCCGACCACTGTGGGAACTTTGAGGACGCCCTCGGAAACGTCTTCGAGGCACGGCTGTCAGTACAGCGTCTGCGAGTTCACCCCTTCCAGTCATGGTAGTTCATCCAGGCATCATCCTCCTCCTCATCATCATCCGCACCATCATCAGCAGCAGCAGCAGCAGGAGCAGGAGCAGGAGCAGCATTGCCGCGACCGGCAGCGGGGCAGCCTGGGCAGCAGCCACAGAGACAGTAACTCCTACAATGAAATAGCCATGAGCAGCTGCAGATACAACGGCGGCGTGATGCGGCCGCTGAGCAACTTGAGCTCGTCCCGCAGAAACATACACGAGTTTGATTCCGAGTCCCAGCCTCTGCAGCCCATCTCCGCCGCAGACGCGTCGGACAATTTAGGATCCAAGCCGGAGAACAATTCCACCACCCTGATGCCTTACGCATCGGGAGACGGAGGGGGAGGCTGCGGCCACAGCAGCGGCAAGTCGGGGAAAAAGAAGAACCAGAACATTGGGGAAAAGCTGGGGCACAGGAGGGCCCTGTTTGAGAAAAGAAAGCGGCTCAGCGACTATGCTTTAATTTTTGGGATGTTTGGAATCGTTGTTATGGTTATAGAGACTGAACTCTCGTGGGGAGCCTACGGAAAGGTGCGTATTTGCTCAAAAAGTCCATGTCTTGCAGTCCCATTCGGACTAGAGTTCATTTAGTGGCTCTCCTGCTTTCTGCCCGGCGGAGCATGTCTTTTACATTTGACAACTTCTTCTAAAAGTGTGGAGGAGAATCGTTCACTGTGGCTGCAGAAGTGTGGGCTCTGGTGCACCGGGCAGCGTCCCAAATTGTCTAGCCTGTCCTAAAAAATGCAGGCCAAAGGGCCCACTGCTGTCCAGCCACGAAGGAGAGCTCCAGTGATTTTGATAACAAGCTTCAATGTCACAGTTTGTAACGGTGTACTTTAACGTGCAGATTTTTGTTGTCACAAGGTAGTTAGTTCCCAGTGAAACAGTGTGATTTTGTGTTCTTGCTCTTTTGCAGGAATCCCTGTATTCATTAGCTCTAAAATGCCTCATAAGCCTTTCTACAATCATTCTCCTGGGGCTGATTATCATTTACCATGCAAGAGAGATACAGGTAATGTTGAAACACTTATTATTTTTCTATTCGTCTTCTGAAGATTATGAAAGCAACCATTTTGTGCAATTTGGTACATTCAAGTCACAACACACTTTTGAAGCGAAAAATCATTCTCTTTACGGGTTTTCTTTTTTTGTTTTGGTTTGAACATTTTTGTTTTTACTTGCTGACCACAATTTCCAAGAGACCATGAGCCAGAAGTTTGAAATGAAAGGATTATGGGTTTCAAATTTTAAAAATGGGCAATGCATTTACTTTGTCTGAATGAGAAATAAGAAAAATATATATTTCAGTGACTTCACAGGCCGTTTCTAAACTATCATTACTAAGAAGTGTCAACAAACCTGCATTGTAGTGGCAAAGATTTCTCGTGCTGCAAACTAAAAGACACCCCGTGCATTCAGGGATTTAAGAACTCCTCATGGGGCCCAGAAGCTGACTGATTATCACATTCTCCCGAGGTTTTACAACACAACACTTTGTTGACCTTAGCTCGGAGGGTTGCTGCATTACTCGCAGCTCTTTCTGTGCCTCGCCAGTCATGTCTTTACTGTGTGGCTGCTAAGTTAATTGTGCAACTTTTATACATGCTGGACATATGCTGACATGCATGCTTTTCTGTTTTTAATGTATTTGTTTGAAGATGAGAAACCGGACTTGAAAAGAAACACAACTCCAGCATTTTTTCTTCTTCTACGTGACAGCATATTTAATCAGACTGATGGATTTCTTTACGTTTGCATGAGATGCTCATTTCTGATGCATTGTCAGCTAAAGTCTATGAGATGCTCCAGATGTTTTAATCTTTCTTTACTTTGTGTTCTTGGAGATGTAGAATTCAATTAGTGGTGAGACAAGAAAAAAACACTTAGATAAAAGGATTACGACTTGGATTTGAAGATGCATTATCTGTAGTGCTCATCCCTCTTGTTGGTATATTTAGTAGTCGCCGGTCTCTGGAGAGATTCAGTCATGGCAATGTGTCACTCCTTTCAGATCTCATCCATTGCAAACCTTTCTACTGGATGATAGCAAAGCACAGACATCATTACCATATTTCATTGCACAACAAAAGCTTTGCAGATAGGTCCCAGTGCTCATAATAAAACAGAGTGTGAACTGGGAGTTTGCATAGTGTAAATTCCATTCATTCTTCCTTTGAATATGCTAATTTATCCTCAAATCGTGCGGAAATTACTAAATCCATAAGCAGAGCATAATTTCGGCTTTCTTGTAGAGAGGCAAAATCATCTACCAATTTAGTTGAGATGTAGAGCCTTTTTAGTGAGCATATCAGCACTGTTTGAAACGAGCTCTGCCTCAGCTATACAATCACCCTCCCCTCTTCTAATAATCCACTTTGCTTAGGCACAAAATTGTGCTACAAATATTTTGTCCTTTTCGTGATACCAGCTGTCTCCTGTAGTAATGTGGAACTGATGAGTTTTTAAAAAAGTTTAATCTTTTTTGTTTCTTTGCACATTGAAAATGGCTTCAAAGCCCATCTCCTTTCTCATTTGAAGGCAAGCTGAAATGCTCATTTTTAGCTCTAAAACAAGCTCCTCTATCGATTCCTTTATTGTCAGTCGTGGCATATTTACCTCACAGGAAGGCTGCTCAAACCTCTTTGATCCGGCCTCGGCTGACACTCACGTCAATATCCAAAGCATGTTTCACACCAGATAGCTCTCTTTCTCTCTCTCTCCACGATAAAGACGTTTCCTCATATGCTGACCTAGAAAACTTTATTACAGCAGTTGTTTGTCTCAGAACTGTTTGCTGCAGTTCACTTTTCACCACCTATCCTGAATGACTCAACTCTCCGGTGAATCAGAGGAAATGTCATCAGTCTTTCGCTCCGCTGCTTGCGTCTACATTTTGACGATGTACAAGCGGAAGGTAACCTCTGTCCTTCAAACAATCAGCTCCCCACGGCACGTAACTATCAACCGGTTCCCGAAACTGCTCCTGATTTGACTATTTAAATCCAGCTAGCTAGCAGTGTTTTCACAGCAGCTTCCACCACACCAGCTGCTCCTTTTCTTCCCTGCCTCAGGGTGCTTTGTGCTTGTTGCTGGTCTGTCATTACTTGGTTCCTGGAGACTGACATATGTGCTGGCACACACACACACACACACACACACACACACACACACACACACACACAAACTGCAGCTCGGATTAATTAACTGAAAATCCATTTGTTAATGACACACATGCAAACAAATAATCACTGATGTGTGTGTCCCTTCTTTGTATCCTCAGTGCTTCTGTCTCTTGTTACACTCTTCAAACTATATGATAAACCGTACAGTTGAAAGCATTTGAAAAAAAATAATTTGATCTCTTCTGTAGGCAATTTGAAGCTGGATCGAGTCAAGTGAGCAACGGCCCTGAACAATGTCCTCGAAACTAGATGATCACAGACCATTGTGTAACCTAGCACTTAATTAAAGCTTTATTTGGACTCTCTATAAGGAAGAGTTATACAAATGTTGTAAATGATATAGAGCAGCAGTACCAGTCAAACATCTAGAAAGAACTGTACCTCAATTCAAATACGATGATGCTTTCAAATGTGGATCTACCAATGAGGAATTAAAAAGTAATGATTTAATCAAAGCTGGCTAAATGATAAAAATGAACAGAGAAACAGAGTGTCTCACTTTTAGTCATGAGGATTAAGCTTCCACTCTGCTGCATCTTGTATTTTTGTATAGAATAAATTCCCACCATACACCATCAACAGTTAAACTAGTGGAAAATTGGATACAGGACAATTGAACACATAAATCTAACTTTGTGCTCATCATTTTTTTCAAAGTGTTTTATGACATAATACGAAAGAAAGCATTTCCTAAAACATTTCAGTTCGATAAAATGTTGCTGCTGTTAAACATGAACATGCAGACACACCAACATTACATTAACAGGCAGCCACTTTCAATTAATGTTGCCTTTTTCTAACTTGACTTAATTTCTCCAAAATTCTAACATGCTTACAGTGTTGCAAAATGGACTGCAGCTTCTGACGTGCACTTTTTTTCGCTCCTGCAGTGAAATAGATTATGCATGCACATTCGTGTGTACTCACAGATCCCTGTCAGATGTAGAAGCACAAGTCAGGGTGATGAAATGTTTCCCCACCATTTCCAGCCTCCTTAAAACTGATTTCCTTGTCATGCAGCTCGCAGACCGTAGCCCCCAATTTTTACAGGGCTTAACACCACAAAGATTTCCCCTCAGAGTAACTGAACATTGAAAAGGTCAGAAGGTGGACCTCCGCTGTCCTTATAATTGTTTAGGTAGACTTCAGTTGTGCTGCACGGCCAGTAATCAGCGGCCTACTGAGCCAAGTGTGTAACTAGGCAAGGGGCCTCATACATGCTGTGCCAAACTTCCCTAAATTCATGTCATTCAGTGTCCGTAATGGGAAAAGAAATCAAATAATTAACACAATATTTTTTTCTTTGCCCACTTTCTCATTGGAGCTGAATGGACTCCAGTCAGTTCCAATGAGGTGTTTTCTTGCCTCTCAAGTAATATCATGACTTTTAAATGACTCTGTTGAGCTGGAGGCAGCCAGAAAAAGGAAAGGACAGGTTACACTCTGCACCTCATTCCTAACTTTGATTTGTCATTGCCAAAGCCTCGTATGTGCTCAGATCTGGAAGTCTCTTCCTGTTTCCAGACAGTTGATGTGCTCAGTCTTGTCCCAAACAGACACAAACTGACATTTAAGTTTTCCCCTTCTTCTCGCATGAAAAGCGTTTGGCTCGGGGGCATTTATGTTAAGGACGTTGCTGTGTTTTTCCACCTTGTGATGACAGTTCTGCTGAGTTTTCTTAAACGAATGCAAAATCCTTTGGAGGCTGTGTGTTGTCTTTGATAAAAGTCAGCGCTGATTTTTCACGGTCGCGCAATTTTACATTTTTACAATCCGAGGAAAAGATAGCACAGTGCAGCATCCGACCTTGTGCCAGCAAATCCCGCCAAAGCTGAACTTGGCTGCGCTTGTCGGATTGCCCCTGAGTGCAGCGTACGTGTCAGAGATATGGTGCAACTGCAGGAGGCTCTCTGAATCTCTCAGAGGGAAATCTGTCCCCCTACCTGAGACTCTAGCCTGGAGTCAGATAACCGCCACTGGCTGCTGACCTCAATGTTTTTTCGCAACATACGGGCTTTCCACAGCAGAGATACCAAACCTCCCAAAGAGCCGAGAACCCGAAAGATTATTTATTGATGGTATTTCCGAGATTGTGCCCTGCATGTGACTTTAATCATTTAGATGATTTTAGATTATTAATGTTTGCAACTTGCCTGCAACCAAAGCACTTTTAAAGATAGGAAGATTTGTATGGGCTTAAAATTTGGCTTCAAGACATTTGCTTGAAAGGAGAAACTATGCATTCAAAATTGAGACTTAATCTGCTAAACAAAAGCAAACTGAATTTGCTGCAGCCTCAGCTTTACTAAGCAAAGTGGCCTCTTAGTGGCTCGCTTTGATATCATAAATAAAGCATTTCAAGAATGTCTAATTGGACTGAGCCTCTTAACCTAATTCACTAATTAGATTGAGCGATTTTATTCTCAGTGACAAGATATATGTTCCCATCTCCACATTACACAGATTAAATATTGAGCTGCACTCCATTAGTTATATTGAGAGTGGTGAAACCAGTAACTAACCCAGCTAACATTGTGAGTGAGCTCCTCGGAGACTTCTCAGTATGCGTGTGTACACACAGGCAATATTCTTAAGACATTTTCATCTCAACCTGACATGAATAAATGGTTTTAACGATGAGAAAGGGGCATGCACTCCAAGTGATTAGACTGCATTTTGAGTCCATCAGAAAACAAGCTCAATGCCCAAAAGAAAGCCGCCGTGCCTGGGTCTGTTCATCTGAAGAAGCAGGCACCGCATTGGCTGCCTGTCCTGTTAGCCTTTCTTCTACAAAGCTTCACAGAACACTTTATTGTCACCCCGAAGATTAGATTTTTGGAAAGGGAGATCATGTTGGACACTGTTTACTTCACCTAAGGGCTGATTTAGAGTTAAGACATCCAACACCCCCAAGGAGGAACTGTAATAGCTGATGAGCATGGTGTCAAATTTGAACCATTTCCATGGTTTGTTTTATTCAACCCTACATCACAGAAAGCAAAGCATTAAACAGGGACAGAGCAGACTGTGCTGGAAATGTGAGCTGGCACAATATAAACAGGGTTAACAGCTCCACCACTTCGTCCTGGTGGACACGCAGGTGAGCACACTCTGTCACCCGCCCCACAAAATGACAGTGTTAGGAAAGAATGAGATGGAAAGAGATTTTCTGTTCTCGTTTTACCCAGGCAGGGGAAAAACAGCCATTTAAAAAAGGGGGGGGGGGGAACTTGCCATGACGTTGTTTCTAATAGGACAGTTTGAGCATTTTGGAATGGCAATTTGAATATTCTGCTCTCCATATAACAGCCTCAGAAAGCTGCTACTAAGGTTCACTCAAGTGAGGAGAAACATCTTTCACATTTGTATGAAGGTTGACACATGCTGAAGGCATTTCCTGTCAGTAAAACACTTCTTTCCATTTCCTAAAACAAAATGTAGATTTGGTATCTATTGTCAAATCACCTCAATTTTAACTCAGACTAATTCGTCACATTTTTTGGTAATAAGTGCGTTGATGAAAATCTAAATGTTTCATATATTGAAAAATTGTTCTCACACCCCCTTTTTGATTCCTGTTGTCTTAGAAACTCACTTATCAAAATACATTTAACAGACTAACGATCGACAAATATGGGAATCAAATGTCAGATATCTTCCAGTCATTGTCTAGGATGACTTATTTTTATTCAAATTTTAAAAGTTTTGATTTAAAATGTATCCTAAATTATCCATCAAGGATGCTGTCAGTAGATTTCAAACTTCCACAGCACTCATTGCCTTTCAGCATCATTTTCAATGCACAAAGTTTAATTGGGGTTATGTTTTCACTGCAGAAATAGTTTCCTCCACGTCTCCCATCATAACCGCAGCTTCTGTTGTTGGCATGGAATATTTCATCCTCCGAGGTAAAGGGCCCTTGAGGATTGTATTTCAGGTCATCCATTACCATAATTGCTTTTACTCACCAAGTAGGCTTTCCTTATGTAACATGCCTTTAATGTTTAATTACATTGTTTTGAGGTAACAAACTTCGTAACTGCTTTTGACAGGACCGGTTTGTAGTCTAAAATGTCAAATAAAAGCTGGCTTGTGATGTGTGCAAACAATAGATATGGGCACTTTTAGAGCCGTAATTCTTTAAGTACGAAACCATAGTCGAGTGCAGTCACAGCGTGTCTCCGTGTCTACATTACACACACTTGGAAAGCCAAACAGGGTGAGCTGTGGTTAGAGTTACACACTTCTCTGACAGATGTCAGTTTGTTAAAGGAGCTCGGTGTCACTCATTTGAAATGAACAACTGCCACTGAAAGTTTAATATGTGTATTTCGCTGTGTTTGGGGGAAACTTTGATTGGGGCTTTTACATGTAAATGAGCTGCTCTTGTACCATTTGTTCAGGAGCATGTGCTCATTGTTGCCTACTTGCTCCATTCGTAGCGTGCCAGCTTGTTTACGGTTTGTAAATTTGGCGCAGGAGCTTTTTTTTCCTGCATAATTGGCTTAGAAGCTACAAGAGCGTGTGGTGTTCAGTAAGAGTGTGATAGCGAGAAGCAGTTTAAGAGTCAAAGTTTCAGTCTGTCAAACTGAGGCATGTGAAGCCCTTCATGTATGTCTCTGACAGAAGCGGCAGTAGACAGATTATAGATTTTTTTATGCACAATTTCTTTGTCCTTGAGTTAAGAATATTTTATGTCAGGAAGATGACTATTTCAGTAATTCCATTTTGCATCAGAGCTAAATTTATAATCTAGGTCACCAATCCCATTAGCCCCTCAGGAATAGGACAGATCTTTACTTCTGTAATGAGAAATCTCAAATTGGACTAAATGGAGGATTGTTGGAAAATTGCCGATCCACAGAGTGCCCCTAACCTGTGCTGAATATTCCAAACATTTTTGTTTGCTGGCGCAACATTGCTGTTTTACTGGAAAAGGCATTCATGAATAAAGACAATGACATTTAAACTCAGGGCAAATGATCTATATAAAGATTGCAAATGGAATTCAGTGTTTTTTTTTAGCTTTTTGTTTTTTCTATGTATCCATTTTTTCTTTTTCTATGACCACTTAATCCAATTCAAGGTCGAAGAGAAGTTGGGGGATAAGAGCGATGCAATAGCTGGAATAAGCTCACTCCATCACGATTAATCGCCAGTCCATCTCAGGGCCACACAGAGAAAAACCATGCACACTTACACGCACTCCAGGGGTCAGGTTTGACCTAACATACACATATTTTTGGATGGTTGATGTTATTTACAGAGACAATATGTAAAATCCAAATACTGGCCCTCGCCCAGTTTGCACCAGGAACCCTTCTTGCTGTAAGGTGCTTAGCACAGTGCAGCCTTCAGTTCAATTAAGCTTTACTGAAAAATTGGAAAAAATGTCCTCTTTACCATTTAATCACTTCAGATATTAATTGTTGTTTTAACTCAACCAATTAATCTAGTTTTGCCTTTCACATCCTACAACATATCTCATGTTTCCCATTAGAGTTTCTTATCTCTTTACAAAGCTTTTATGGTTAATTTAGCTTTTAAATTTTGGATTGCAGCATTACTGATGTCTCTCAGGTTTTAGACATGTTTTTGATTGAAAATACACCTTCAGAATGCTGCCGAGACACATCCCATATAAAATCCAGACCAAATTTTGACTAATTTTGACTCACTATTTATGCAGTCATCAGTGCAGGATTAATGTGTAATAAATACAACTCGATTACATTCTATTCCAGGTTAGGTATTGTTAATGGAGGCCTTAAATGTTATATATCAGCCTGATATTAAGTACAGATAAATACCATAAAACATTAGCTTCTGATAAACACTTAATGCTTTCTCTGAATGCACAGTCCACCTTGCCCAACAGAATGCAACTTTGTTGACCTCACACTACAACATATAAATGTTTGTACAGTATGTAAACGCTGATTAAAGCTGAGCTGAAAGCTGAGATGAACTGTATTCCCTTAAGCTATCCTGAGCAGTGAGCAAAACCATTGTACTGTTAATGCATATTATCATTATATAGGCACAGAAGTCACTGGACACCCCATTATTCATTACCAAGCATATGAAGAAGCTTCCAATGGTGCAGTTTTTCTTTTCCATTCTCCTTTTAAAAGCCATCTGCTCTCATGGCAAAAACAGCCGCCAGGAAATCTCCCTCACATTTGCTGACAGCAGCATTTTGTGAAATATATACTGCCACTTGTGACGGCCTGCAAAGGCAGAGGACCTTGACGTGATTAAGTGGATGGAGCATGAACAGCTGCGGAGGAATATCAGTGTGGTTTGTCAGAGAGGGGAAGTTAATATGGCTCGATAACATTTAATCTGCAACCCAAACCAGCAAACACAAACCTCCGTAGGAGGAGTGAGGCTGAGACAGTCTGTCCTCAACTATGAGGATACTGAGGGATCATGTGAGCGAGGAGGTGACGGCAGTGATGGGCTCAGCCAGCAGTTCAGGGTTAAGTCACAATACAGTGAATCTTCTCCGTGAAGATTGCAGTAGATTGCTTTGAAAGTGATAGAGGACAGAATGAGTGAACAAGAAGAGGGAGCAGCAAAACCAAAGTGACCAGAGGAGGAAGCGGCTGTATATGACAGAGGGCAGGACGGAGAAGAGTGATGAGAGCTGTTGAAATCCATTCACATACCGGTTCCAAATGAATCAGCCTACCTTCTGTCTGGACTGGCCCAGCAATCACAACCTTATGCTAATGTGGAGCTGGCAGATGTTCTCATCAGAGAAATGTCCTGAAGGTGAAAATGTTTACTGCAGGTTCTGCTTGATGTAACACTTATAAAGTAATTAGATAAATGTGTTTTTTAGATAGATTGTAAGTTTTTTTTCCCTCCTTCCCTTCTTTCTTTACCTCCAATTTTCTTTCTGCTGATAAGCTTTAGATAAGTGATTATCTCTCATACAGGGCTGTTATACCTTTCAACCTTCACAACAACATCATCCTGAGCCAAAGGTTAAGAGGAGTACAAAATCCACTCTGCATTCAAATTCTTTCAATTTAACAACTGATATCAGATCACCTTCAGCATTATCATTTGTTCATCGTCAACACAACTTTGGTATTTATTTTTCATGAATATGGAAATATGACGACACGTTTCTCATCAGAGTGTTTCAATATATAAAATAGAAACCAAATAATAACGGAAGGTTAAAAAAAATCCTACCCAGAGCTCTAATGCTGAAGTCTTTTAGCCTTTATTAAATATTCCTGTAGACAATATCTTTTACGAGTCTAATAAACTCCTAGACAATTACATCCAAATGCTGGCCTGAAGACATGTCTTGGAGCAATGTGGCTCATATGTGACTTTATGAGTGGCTCTTTAATGACTTTAATGATTTCCTGCAGCTTGCTGCGTCAGCATGATGTTTCTGCCTTTCCCCCTCCATCACCTCACGGGCCCCTCTCCTTGCAGCTATTCATGGTGGACAATGCAGCCGATGACTGGAGGATAGCCATGACGTACGAGCGCATCTTCTTCATCTGCCTGGAGATCCTGGTGTGCGCCATACACCCCATCCCAGGGAACTACACCTTCACCTGGACGGCACGCTTGGCCTACTCCTACGTTCCGTCCAAGACGGACGCGGATGTGGACATCATCCTGTCCATCCCCATGTTCCTGCGGCTGTACCTCATCGCTCGAGTCATGCTGCTGCACAGCAAGCTCTTCACCGACGCCTCCTCCCGCAGCATCGGCGCACTCAACAAGATTAACTTTAACACTCGCTTTGTGATGAAGACCCTCATGACCATCTGTCCCGGCACTGTGCTCCTGGTCTTCACCATCTCTCTGTGGATCATCGCTGCGTGGACAGTGAGAGCTTGCGAGAGGTGCCTACACCAGTGCCTCACAGCATGAAACATAGATAAAGAGTAAACATAAATAGCTAACACACTTCCCCGCTCACTCTGTATCTAAGCACAGGTTAGGGGAATTTACACCACACAGGCCTGACTAAGAATTTAATCTTACGTGTTCCATAGCATCAAATCAGTTTTTTGCCTGCCTTTCTGAAAAGGAGAAAAGGTCTTTTAGGTGAAGCTGGAGGAGAGGAGTTAGATGGAGATTAGTTTATGTTTCATATTCATTACAGGTATCACGACAACCAGGACATAACCAGCAACTTTCTTGGAGCCATGTGGTTGATCTCAATCACGTTTCTAACCATTGGATATGGGGATATGGTCCCACACACATACTGTGGAAAAGGAGTCTGCCTCCTGACTGGCATCATGGTGGGTATAGCAAACTGACGGATGATTCATTTAACTAGTTGATTTTTTTTATTGCTGATAATCAAAAGTCCACATTGTGCATTTGTGTCCTTTTAGGGTGCTGGCTGCACTGCCTTGGTGGTCGCTGTGGTGGCGAAGAAATTGGAGTTAACCAAAGCTGAAAAACATGTCCACAATTTTATGATGGACACCCAGTTAACAAAAAGAGTAAGTGGATTCTCCAGCACCTATCGTCCACAGTTTGTTTCCTCCTGCCAGGAGCCCTGAGTAAATGTCTCTGTATACCTCTCGTAGGTGAAAAACACAGCTGCGAATGTTCTCAGGGAGACGTGGCTCATCTACAAGAACACCAAACTGGTGAGGAAGATGGACCATGCTAGAGTCAGGAAGCACCAGAGAAAATTTCTCCAAGCCATTCACCAGTAGGTGCCGCGCTCTTCACTGTACCTTCACCTTTTAATCCAGCGGGACATCCGTTTGAGAGGCAGAAACCTGAGATCTGAATTGTTTGACACCTGTAGCAAATGTATGTGCATGTATTAATGAAGGATGCATTTCCTAAATAAGTTCCTTCTGACTTTCAAGGTCCACTAATGTGTTGGACTGCATGTACAATTTATACAACAACTAAATTCATGCATAAGTGATTTAATAATACATTGACTTTCAGTCATAAATTGCCATTATAGGAGAGATGTTTTGTCTGACTTAAACTCAGTTTACCTTGAAATATTCTGGAGTTGCAGCACTATATTGATTTTTCTCTCACTGGCCTCATGCTGTCAGATTGACTTTTGCGTGCCGTTTTGTCTGTGAGTCAGATGTCAGGCTGACCTCAGGGGGCTGGCACATCTGGGTTTGTACTGCTCTAGCGGCTGGTCAGACACTTACCTGTCAGCCAGTCTTTCACTGGCTCCCCGAGGACCTCCAACTTACTCCAAAACAGTATTGATTTTAGCCTCCCCTCATTGTTGTTTTACCTCACCGTACAGTGCTCACTAGAACTTCTCCTCCATGGAACCGTTTAGTAAGTGCTGGTCTTATTAAGATAAATAACTGCAGTGATTTTGTTAGGACATGGCTTTTTACTTAAGTAAAACGTCTTCTGTTCATTTGTTTGCTCACTGATGGTGGTTTAGATCTTGTATGTGAGCCCTGCACTTTCCTTTCCTCCCTTCCAAACGTTTGTTTTTTTAAATTCATCAAAATGTTCTACAACAATGAGGAGAAACACAAATATATATTCTACCGCACAGTTGCTCCTGCTGCAACCTGAATCCAGATTAGTGAAGTTTTAAAGCATTTTGTCGGTGCAGCTTTCTCATGTCATCGTGCCCTTGCTGCTGTATCTGGGCAATTTGCAGCAGTGATGACAATGTCCCATGTCCACCTCCTGTTCTCTAGGACAGCCTAATAATGGAAATTGCTCTCAGCTACAGCTTAATCTATAAAGAACCAGATTCAATAGAAAAAAGTCACGTCTAGCTCTGTGTGCCACAAGAGCTTCTCAGCATGTTGTTGGCATCAGCTTGTCACACCTCTGTCTTAAAAGGATTTGGTCATGTTGATAAAGGATAGTGTTCTCTGGCTTTATGTGGAATTTGAAAGGACATCTGTAACCAATGTGTGGGGTGTCACACAGAATGCCGTGATTGATATTCATTTGAGATGGATCTTGACAAGTAGTAGGTTGTAAAAGGCCTAGAGGTGTCTTTGAACTGTCATGAGGCGATTGTAAACATCAAATCAGATATCATCATGCTTGTTTCTTCAAGTCCTCATCAGTCAAAGTATAAAATGTAAGCTGTAAAGCGCTGTTAAATGGACCCTTGGATCCTTTGACGTACTGTCTTTGTCTGCAAATGTTGCCATGATGGTTGTTTCTATGATCTGTCCAGGATTAGGACCATAAGGGAAAACAGAATGGGCTGTTTATACTGGAAAATACTGAAAGGATATGGGTGTAACAGATTTAGTGTAGGGCAAAATAAGTCAGTAAACAGTGTTGTTACTACAAAAAAATGTGACACTAGCCAGGTTAAGCAATTTTGTAAATGACATCTGACCTGACAAATATTGAAGTGATGGGCACATCCGCTGGTTCTGGTCTAAGCTGGTAAACACATTCATATGACTGACAGGTGTCTTTCCAGAAGTGGCGTGATTTCTCAGATAAGGCCAGAGATCAAAGTCATCCCTGAGGAACAGCTCTCGTCACTTTCCTTATGTGGATGCTACGGCAGTTTCTGTAGGGATTTTATTTTTCCACTTCCACTTCTTCCAATTAGGACAAGCACTTTTTCTGCTGCCCTCTGGCAAAACCAGACAACCTAGTTTGTTCACTCCAGACCAGTGAATGAAAACATGTCTGATTCACATTTCTTTTTTGTGGCTTTTTAAAAGATCTTTTCTGCCTCGCCAGCAAATGGAAATCTGGCTTTTGTGGAGTTTAGGGTCACAGCAGCAAGACTTGAGTCAACATTTTGCCATTTCAGTATGTTTATCTAATGTCCTAATAATTCATTTGTCTACTTCATGTTTCCTTTTTTTTCCTGTTTGTGTCGACACAATGCAATAGAGCTCGAAAGTAAGTCTTCGCCTTAAATATAGATAGAAACCTGTTGTGTGCATGCAAACGAGAGCTTGTCCTTCAACCTAACAATGTTACTAAAAAATTACACTCCCTCATTTGATAAGTGAAATTCATGCTTCAAAAAGTAGAATTTATAACCTGTTTTACAGAACATAATCATGACTGCACCAGATTATCCACAGCTGCCACAAAGTTTGTTAGTTGCTTTGTCCGTTCGACAAAACAAACACACATTCTTGAGGTAATTGTCAGATTTGAGTAATCCCAAGAGTTATTCTGACACACAACACACATTCCAAGTCTACCTACAAATGCATATCAAGTGAATTTCAATTATCATTGATGGAGGGTGTCTTTCTTTCCATTTCTGCATGGATGTGATGAGACTGACCTTTAATCAGAAAGCAACTGATTAAACTTGAATCAAATGCGTTTTCACATACCGAAGGATGACAGTTAGAGCTCCACACCCAACAGATCCGTTGCGGCACAAGTACATTTTATGATGTTCCTAAAAGTCACAACATAGTCAATGGAGCAGTCATGCCCATTCAGATCAGGGCTCAGGGTCATCTTTCGGCGAGTGGAACCTTTGTAACGCCTGTTAAAGCATTTGCAGCCTCATTTCCTACATTACTTGCTCGATGACACGGTAGCAGTGATCCAAGCGGGCAAACAGCACAATAACAAGGATATACAGCTGTCATGCAAGGATAATTAGGAGAATTAGCAACGGAGAGAGTTTAAACAATGCTGATGTCCTTTGAAACAGACATTCAACCTCACCACAGGAAGGATCCAGCCGAGTGTTTTACAGAGGGTTTTATGCCAAAATAGCTGTGGAATTAAGTGTCCGGCATAATCATATCATTCCCTTTGGGATCAATGTCCCTTTCCATCCACAAGGTTGAAGTGTGAATCATTGCGGGAAACAGGAAAGTGAGTGCTTGTTAGCTCAGAGATCAGTGAACTGAAGATACAGGAGGGTGACCCACAAGGAAGAAGGTCAGCCGCAGAGCAATCCTATTAGTGCCGGAGTGACTGCAAGTGGGGTTGCCAGCGTGAAGCTTACAGCAAGGAAAAATGGAGGTCAATCAAAAATAACTAACATACTCCACACAAAAATCAGACCAGAAAATCCTAATCAACTAGTAACCAAGAGCATGTCAGCAACTAACAGCATCCTTCGGTCCAGCAACAAATGTTGATTGATCAGTCATGATGAGAAATTACACATGTACAGAATTCATTGATGGTAACATGAATGGTAATAAGAATTCAATTACTGCACATCTCACTGCACATAGATCCACATTTGAACCATGTGACATGTTTGTAATAGTTTCTTACACCAACCTCAAATAAACGCACATTTGAAATTATATTCTCGGAAGCGGAGGTCACGATAAAGAGAGGAAGTGAGGATGTTAAAAGAAAAATATGGAGCAGCACTAACTGAGATTAGCGTAAAAGATATAGTGAGGCGCCGAAAAGCTTAGCTTAGCTGTTTCCCCTGATGAATAGCAAGCAGATTTAGAGTGCCCATTCAAAATGAGAACTGTCTGTGAAAGGTGATTGACTGAGGAAACAAGACAGAATTTAACTGATAAGGCGAGTGTGCTTTTTCCTTCTGACCTCCAGCTGCCCTGGGCTTCAGCCTCTCCTTAAGATATCCTTCTCCTAACTGTCCGTATTTCTAGCGGGGCTTACGTCAGATGCAATACTATTTTACACTGAATATCTATTATCTGTCCTAACTTTACGGGCACAACCTCCTTCATTGTTTTCCCACCTTTTAGTGGTAAACATACAATTTTCACTATGGTATTCTGTATTTGTGTGCTCTGTATTAAGCATTTCAGGGCAAGGTTGTCACCACCTTTTACCCTTTGCCTGTGGTTTTGTTCGTTTGACTTCTGTGGCACCCTCTATTGGTCTAAACGGTCTGCTTCACTCTGTGATTGCTTCAGGAAGCAGAAAAGCTATCCTGCATTGCATAGGAATGGGTGCATTTTGCCTAATTAGCAAGCTTATGTTCTTTTTTGATTTTCAATAAAGCTTACATTTGGTTCACACTCAACCTAATGATCACCTCACACTGGAACTGCATCAATGCAGATAGTTCAAAGGTTCATTATGGTTATTCAATCAAAATCTGATCCGTGGGCACTCTTGCCATGGGATTGTGTTCTCGCTTTAATTTCACAAGCGTGGGCGAAAGGAATGCGGAAATAAAAATGAATAACTTAGTATCATATGGGGGTAACACTCCAGAATACTGCACAGTTGCTGTTTCTTAGCCACCTGAGAAAATGTCTGAAAACACACCTCAAAAACCTAATTAAACAGGGGATGTGAATGATTCAGGCATGTTGTATAAAAATGGCACTCAGTGTAGTTAATTCTTTTTCACAGGGTAATCTTACAGAACAAATTAAGCCTTTTATGCATTCTGTAAAAAATAATGAACATTTTTGATTATGTCAAATGCATTCTCAAATCTGAGACTAAGAATTTATAGAGTTATTTCTTTCTGAACTCAGGAATTCTATCAATTTAGGAATTCTATCAATCGCATATATGAGCAGATAGATACAATCTAAATATTAAATATTGAGCTAAGGTTTTTATTTAAAATGTAGGTTGATTTATTTGACTGTTGAGTGGCTAAATTATTTATACTCATAGAGGAGTTGTTTTAATCAGAAGTGGGGTTTATAGAAACAACTGTGATCGAACTTCTGTCTTCTAACCTCATGTGTCAAGCGTACACAGAACTTCATAGCTGTCTGTGCATAGCACAGGCACTCATACGAGTCCTCCTCATACCTTTAACCTGGTTGTAAGCGTTGGTTGAGTAGGATACAGAGCTGACCTCATTCTCCCCAGTGTCAGCTCTCGCCCTTTATGGTCTCCTTTCAACTTGCATGCAGCTCAACCAAACAGACTGACCCCCTGCAATCCCCGATTCACACATCCTGTGCATGTCCTAGGAGTGCTCTCCGTGTGAATGCCTTTTGTGTGCACAGATCGCAAATTTCTGAAAGCTTTGATTCACTGGGTTCTGAATGGTCTTGTGTTCAGATTGAGAAGTGTTAAAATGGAGCAACGCAAGCTGAATGACCAAGCAAACTCACTAGTGGACCTTGCTAAGGTAAGATAGACTGTCACAGTCTGCTGCTGCATTCTCAGGTTTGCTTCACTTGTGCGAGTGAATTCAGTGCATGCTATTTCACTTTCTGATTTAGTTGTGCTCTGATATGTAGACAAAGTCTACAGGTGTCAAATAAACAGACAGGCTTTAAATCAGTGTAATTACTCAGTTGGTATGAGTATGAAATAATAACCTCACTTTGTTTCAGAGAGTACAAATTGCTTTCATCGGGGAATGTCCTTGAAAATGACTGAGAAAACCCCAAAACCCCTTTTGTAAAAGCCAACTACAGATTTTCACTTCATGCATCCTCTAATGTTTGTCTTCAGATGCACTAAACAGAAACCGACAAACCTCAGGGAAAGACCAGGCAGTGCGCCAGCCTGACACAGCAGAAACAGTAACCTGGGAAGGGAGACACACTGTGATCTGATGATTCAGCCAGAAATAAAGGCAGAGAGAGAGAGAGAGAGAGAGAGGAGAGAAAGGCACAGCACTTTGACAGTCAAAGGTACACCACAGTCAAGCTGGATTCAGGCCAGCGTGTCGTGATAGGTATTAGTTAATGCTGCCCAATCATCTCGAGCTGTAAAACAGCAGTGAGGGTTGGGATGTGGTGTTGGAGAGAGTTGCTAATAGCAGGTGCCAATGAGATCTTTAGATGATGTTATACCAGCCTGCAGCCATCAGAGGGCGGTGTGGCCTGTGCATTCTCAGGCTATCAGGGGAGGGATGGATATGAACTTCTTGGGAAGATGCATTGCCACTGCAGTGGTCTGTGAAATCCTTCAGATCACAGTGCATCCTTTTTCTTCATTATCATCCTCATCATTCATTACTTTCTATACGATGCCTTATTCCAATCAAGAGATGCAAACATTTTTTTTCCATTTTTATCAATGTTTGAATTACATATCTTTATAATGGCAAATGGCTCAACCGAAGCAGCTGTTTCAAACAATCTCTTATGCTTTTTATTCTTTTTATTCTCTTTACCCTGTCCAGGAGTAGTCTGGACAGATCGCAATTTTTGTGGTCTTATTTCAGACCACAAATTGGGATCTGTCCAGCCTACTCCCGGGCTCCTTATTTATTTTATAAATATGACCACAATTCTTGGGCATTGGGCAATTCTTGCTCTATGACCATCGTTTACTCTTGGTGACATTTCCTCTATTATGAATGGCTGGGTTTCATTTTCGGCCACCTGTTCTAATGTACTCTAGTTTCACCTCGTGATTTGGAAGGTTAGCTCGATCATTGCAGTTTGAACTGCGTCTGGCTGTAATCATTTCTAAATCAGAACAGACAGTTGTTCCACTAACGCATTTGGATATCCTTTTGACTTTTTAATTTTCTCTGTCAAAGGCTAAAAGTTATCAGAGTTCCTTAAGTCCCCGCTCTTTCACATAAACAACCTACATTTGTAATCATTCCTGTCCCTGATAAGAAGAAGGACAAGGTAAGTGATGGATGGCGTCACCTCAAGGCTGCAAGAGATTATTTGTCCTTTACTGAATAATATCTCAGAAACCACATTCTGGCAGCTTCCTCCTCCAATCTGCGTTAAATCTGAAATTGATGTCTGCATCTGCCGTTGACGACTAAGAAAGTCTGAACCTCATAGATTTTACGAATCAGCAATATGTCTTTTAAAACCTTTAGCAGATGGCTGATGCATCAAAAGAGCAGAAAGCATCGTCAGCAGGCACCTTTCCTGTCCTCTCAAGGTCAGACTAATCTGCTATGTTCTGCATGGAAACGTGAAGTTGTGTAAATCTTTCTTGTAGGGTCAAACTTGGACGGACATGCTTGACATCTTTTTGAAGGAAGATTCAGTTTGGACGGGTGTTTTGGGGTTGCTTCAAATAAGATGGATGACAGCGCTATAATAAAAGCATCTTCTTCAAAGTTGTTTGTTTAGGCTTTTTTTCATTCATTTCTATTTCCGAATATATTGATTTTGCAGGTGGTCAACAGGCTGGTGAAAGCAGCAGCAAACAGAGGCAGAAACAGAGGGAAACTGAATAAAACAAAGAGTGCAAAAACTGACAGAAAGGCATACAGTGACACAAATCAAGACCAAACTTAATTTAGTAAGCAAAGCGATTATCCCACCCGCGAACATAAACTTAAAACCATGACAAATGTGGAGTTTGCGTTTAGCAAATCGATTTATTCCGGTTTTATTTACATGATTCCAGTGTTTTCAGGGTATTTTTTAACACAGGGCTCCGGTTTTATTATGTCACCAATTATGTTGGCATTTCACCACCTAATACGTTGGAGCTCCATCTCTGGTATATATTTATATTCTGTCCACTATTAATGGGCTCACTGAAAGACTGTTTTTTTAGACCTTGACTTTAACCTGGACTTCTTATATTGGTCTCAATGTAAGCATGCATTGAACTTCATTGGGCATATTTTTAAACCTTTAAACCTTGTGTGTGCCAGATGTTCTCTGTCACATAGGTGTCATTCTCCAGTTTGAAACTTAATGTGTTGCAAAAATGTCTTTCTGAAAAACTAATGCACTTCTAATTCCTTTTCTTTTTTTTCAGACTGAACTTCAAATGCACAATGTTTTCTTTTTGTCAACATCCTTAAATTCCGATAATGCGTACATCCTCTTTTCTCAGGTGTTCATCAAAAGTTACCACCCATTTGGAGAATGATGGCATTAATGGGTTTCTTCTCTGCTGTTGCAGACTCAGAACGTCATGTACGACATGGTATCAGACTTAAATGAGAGAGGCGAGGACATGGAGAAGAGGATTGCCCTGCTGGAGACAAAGCTGGAGACTCTACTGAGCAACTTGCAAGCTCTGCCTGGACTCATCAGCCAGGTCATCAGCCAGCAGCACAGGGACTTCCTGGAAGTGCAGCTCCAACCTTACGACAAACACAGCCCTGAACGCTCACAGTCAGTGTCACGGAGGAGGTCGTCCTCCACAGCACCGCCCACCTCCTCAGAGAGTAGCTAGAGTCCAAGGGAATGCCTCCGCCGAAGACTTTTGCCATCATATGGCCAAGTTGCATTTATCGTAAAGCCTTATGGTTTCAATAAGTATTATCCAAATTCTGATGACAGAATCCAGGTTACTGGGGACAATGCATTTTAATGGATAACTTCATTCTGTTCTTGTTTTTTATTACCTCAAAAGATGAAGTTATCCTTGCTCTGGTGACATGACCACAAATAATGGCGCTTCCCTCAGTGAAAACTAAAAGGCCTATCAATGAGGCTGTGATAAGAACACTTCTTCATCTCTATGCAGAGGTAGCCAGTAGTAGGTGGCGAGGTTACCAGGTGTGAAACTATTGCACTAAAATAGTGCTTCCCACAGACTTTGTGCTTCTGCTGGCTTGGTTCAGTTGCCGTGTTCCTCAAAGCAAACTGAGAAACCACCAAGAAATCAGTCAGGCAGCATGTCGGTGATATTGAGGAAAAGTGCTGTGTTTGATGGCCTGAAAGAAGTGTCAGCAAAAGGCAGATGAAAATCGATCCAACCCACTGTCACTCAGAGATAACATAAACAGCTTGAAGTGAGGAAAAGAAAACATATATCTTTTAGGTTAGAAACAGCATCAACTCTAGTGGTTTTCTTTTGCAGAGTGCCCCCATAGAATGACTATTTTTGGGGGCGACACTGCAAATAATTATCTCCTCAAGTCAATCTGAATGCATCGAAACCTGTACTTGCACTTCCTTTTGAATCAATGCACTTCAATGCTGACTGACATATGATATAAAGATGCATTACTCATTAAAAGAAAAACATGTGAGTTGTTTGGGCATGGGTTTATTATTGTCAATTTTTAAGTTGTGATTAGTGTTAAAAACTCAAGTCAAAGTCCCTTTTTCTTTTTCTCACAAAGCCGCATTCATATAGACTTTGTATAGGTCTATGAAATGCACTGAATGATCATAAATTCAGTAAATACCCTAGTATCTTGCTGTGGCTCACCCTCTCTTGTGCTATATATGCTTGCTGTCCAATCAGCTGGGCAACAACAAATGCTGAACAACAACTGTAAACCATATCTACCTTTTGAAACTGAAAAGAAAATGCCTATTTTTATATATTTTCATGAGGATAAGCACACCTCTTACAAGTAAACAAACAACAGCAATGAACTATTCAGAGAAAGATTCAGCAAATCTGGCATATAATTCAAGATGTACTAGACTGAAGTTAAGATACACAAAGTTGTTCATGAGCTTCTTTCATGATTTTTAGTCATTTGAAAACTCGTACCCCTAGGCATTAACATTAACTGTATGACCAAAGTTGTTAATGCGACCTGTTCAAGGTTCACAGCGCATGGCATTGGTCAGAGAAGATTTTGTAGTTTCCCATCAAACCAGCGGCTCAGATCTTGTTCAGCCAGGTCATCTAATAAAATATAAGTCAACCAGATGGTAAACAAAATTGCAGATATACGTCAATCTTAGCGAAATAGAAACCAATGAGGGAATATAATGTATGCGACTTTATTGATAAACAATAAAAATTATACAATTAGACAGTTATGTGTTCTTTTTCATTCTGTGACATGTTGTATGGAAAAGGTAAAAAAAATGGGTGTATGCATACTATGCAACACAGGTGACAACGGTCTAAATTCCTTTCAGATTTCAAAGAACCGTCATTTTACATCGGTAATGCACGATTATAGAAAATGGTGTGTATTGTCAGGGTAAAATGTGATCTGAGCAGTAATTTCCAGACATTTGTTTGCTCTTTTAATTTCCATAGAAAGTATACAATATAATTATTGTACCAAAATGGCAATAAGCTGACCATTAGCCATGGCCCCTGGGTCAAGGCAAGTGACAGAGGTAGCTGTGCAAGGGGCATTGATATAAGTGAGACAAAACCTTTACAGTTAGAATAAAATACCATGCAAAAATTAAGTGTGTCCTATGTTATTATACAATTACTAAAAGTACTATGCAACATTGCAACGGTTCTGTACTACTACTGTGTTTAAGAAAAGGTTTTGTCAAAAATAGTTGTCATGATGCATGAAAATGTCACAGCATTAAAATAATTAAAGCCTCAATTTATAAGCAGCATTTTCCTGTCAATTTTTAGGTCTATATGTTGTAAAAAATTGTCCGATGATACATCACCAGCCAAGAACAAAAAATAATTGTGTTATTGGTAATTCTTCATCGTTTTCTAAATGCCAGTCAAATGAAAAAAATATTTTCATTAACAAGATTATCTATTTGGAGAAATTACTTTGATTTACAAGGAGCCACTGCTAAATTTCAAGGCTTTTGTAAGCTTTATTTATATATTACTTTATATATTACAAAAGGACGTCGTTGCTTCGATAGAAAACATTCACTTTGAATATGTTAATTTGATCGTCATCAGAAACCTGTGCGCGCATTTGTCCCGCGCGGCCGGAAATACACGTGCACGATTTGTGATCTCGCGAGATTCTTCTGCGAAGCCACGTACAACCGCAAATGTGTGGTGTGTCCATGCTAACAGCTAAAGTTGCCTACCTTCACACAAAATTTCGAAAGTCCATCTTATCTGCGTGAATTATACACCAGAGGAAGCGCCAAAATGAGTATACTTGCCAAGATAGCAGAGATTGAAAATGAGGTAAGCCTAATTTTCATGTGTCAGTTTTTAGAATCAGTCACGTTTTAGCTAACTGGTGCTAGCTGGTAACACTAGCAAAAATATGTCAGGCCCGGATTTACACCTGATATAACTCAGAAGTTATGTTTTCAGAAGTTTACAGAGTCTCATTAAAGCTGCTTGCTGTTTTCATTTGACTTGCAGTTGTGTAATGACATGAATTCGACTCTTAAATGGAGTCAACATCGTCGATGGTAGAGGGGCAACTAGAATCTGGCATCTCGATTCTATTTTATAAAACACCAACTACGGCATGCTTCATGGACTATAAAAATGTCTCTAAAAACCTCAACTTTCAACGGGTTTCCCAACTTTCATATGTGGGATATGTTGGGTATGGAGAAGTAGCCCTGAACAGCAGCTTTAAGTTGGACACGTTTTGGATAATTCAGGAATATGGACTGTCTAAAATAAAAAACCGAGCAGAAAAGGGCACTTTTTGATGGTGGATAAAAAGCTGTTGTCTGCCCGGAAAAGCGAAAAGGAATGTGTAAAAATACTCAAACCTTTCAAAACAACAATCAGAAACCATAAATAACTCTCTCAAATTATTTTCAAAACGTATTTATTTGTTTCCCATTAGATGGTAATTTGCTGAATGTAGCAAAATCTGTTGTATAAGCTGGTTCTATTGTTTTTTTTTTAGAATTGGATGTTCTATAGATGTCAGACATATTATATTTAACTTTTTCTCTTGATATTGTGTTTTCTAGTAGTTTGTTTGCATATTCTTCCCTTATCTTTGGATAGTATTTTACATCATCAACATCGTCTGCTCAAACACAAATTAACATCTCGCACCAAGTCAGAATAAAAGATTTTGTTGGTTTACACATAGTTGAAACTCAGACTTTTTTAGAATAATTGCAGGCCATTTAAAGTAATGTCTTTGTATATGTTTTCATAACTCTAAGGACTAACTGGCCTCAGGCGATTTAAACTGTCCACTTGATGCTGTTGACCGCCTGTTACAGTGTTGTCATGCAAACCTTTGTTACTATCTGCCGTAGATGGCCAGGACGCAGAGGAACAAGGCCACTGCTCACCACTTGGGTCTGCTCAAAGCACGTCTGGCCAAACTGAGGAGGGAGCTTATAACACCCAAAGGCGGCAGTGGGGGAGGAACTGGAGAAGGTCTGGTCACGACCACGATCTTGCATTTCATGTTGCTTCATTTCATGCCCTGTACAACCTCCTAACGAATATGAAGTTATTACAGCACTAAGTGTGATTCTGTTGTCTTTCTTCTGACTTTCAGGTTTTGATGTTGCGAAAACCGGCGATGCCCGAGTGGGCTTTATTGGTTTTCCTTCAGTAGGAAAATCAACACTGCTGAGTAATCTTGCTGGTGTTTATTCTGAAGTCGCTGCTTATGAGTTCACCACTCTCACAACAGTACCCGGAGTCATTCGGTATAAAGGGGCAAAAATTCAGGTACAACAATTGTCTCTTTTTTCCACTAGCTGGGAGAGAACATGCATATTTAGTCCGTTGATATGAGATATATTTACTTTTTTTTAAATGAGTCTTTCTTTCACAGCTCCTGGATCTCCCGGGAATCATTGAAGGAGCAAAGGATGGCAAAGGCAGAGGCAGACAGGTCATTGCAGGTACAGATGTTATCATTAAGGTTTCTGCTAACAATTGGCACAATACAATTGTGAAGAAAATCACAGTCATGTTTCTTTTGGTTCATATAATTGCCAAAGTTAAGGTCATACAGTATTTTGCACACATTTATGATCTAAACCATAAGGTTTTATAGTTATTTGGCAAGTTTCATTTAAATTCATTGCTGTGGTGCTGAAGGCTTTATTGCAAGGGAGTTCTGACAAACATTGGAGAAGTTATTGCATTTTTCTGAAATGATGGTAAATAAAAGATTATGAACAGCTTCTTTCTGACTGAAAATTTGAAGAGAATTTCTCACCTGACGTTCCTCCCTCTCTCTCATCTAGTGGCTCGAACCTGCAATCTAATCCTCATCGTGCTTGATGTGTTGAAGCCTCTTGTTCACAAGAAGCTAATAGAGCACGAGCTGGAGGGCTTTGGTATCAGACTTAACCAGCAGCCTCCTAACATTGGTTTCAAGAAGAAGGACAAAGGAGGCATCAACTTTACCGCCACAGTACGTCTCACAGGGCAGCAGAATTTCAGTGACTGATTCTATTTATTAATTGTTGTTTTTGTGTGTTTTCTTTCTTTTCTTTGTTTTCCTTGATCCACAAAGCACAACATGATCATTAAACATTACTGCAGGTGTTTTCAAATGTACAAAATGCCTTTTTTCTTGACTTCATGCCCATCCTCCTCTTTTTGCCTCATTAGTGTGCACAGAGCGAGCTTGATGCTGAAACGGTTAAGACCATTCTGGCCGAGTACAAGATCCACAACGCCGACATCACTCTGCGCAGCGACTCCACCGCTGATGACCTCATTGACGTGGTGGAAGGCAATCGGTAAGCTGCTGAAGTGCCAATGTGGGCCTGCCTTAGTCATTCCAGGAGGGCATGGCCTGTAGCAAACTGAAATCACATGTTAACTCTCATTACGCCAATGCAGATGTATTTAAAACTGGTGCCTGTGTTTCGCCACCCTCATACTCAGAAAATCTGAAGGGGAGAAATGTTGGCATGGCTGAATTCCGCATTTTTTGCAAAGCTTAATCATAATCACCATTCCTTTGTAGGGAAACATAGCATTCACAGGATCTGCGGCGTAAGAGTTCTTTCATTGCGAGTGAGCATCTCAACAGGAAATTAGAGCACAGTGTGCGCTAGTAATACTGAGCACGAAGCAGTATCAATTTAAACAGAGGTTAATCATCCAATGAAAAAATAAAGATGGATATTAAGTCTAATTTTTCTGAGTTTAACATCCAACACTTGTGATTAATGGTCTGTTGAGCTCACCAATTCCGTCCCTGTCTTAACAGGGTCTACATCCCATGCATTTTTGTGCTCAACAAAATCGACCAGATCTCCATTGAGGAGCTTGACATCATCTACAAGGTGCCCCACTGTGTCCCCATCTCTGCCCACCACCGCTGGAACTTTGATGACCTGTTGGAGAAGATGTGGGACTACCTAAAGCTTGTGCGCATGTAAGTGGCTTGAATGAAGAATGCAGACAGTCGAGGATTTAAGCGCTGGAGAACAAGAAGGCAATGCAGCGATTGAGTGTTTCTGCTTTCATGCAGCGTGATTTGTCTGAGATAATGATGTCGTTCACAGTTACACCAAACCAAAAGGCCAGCTGCCTGACTACACGTCTCCCGTTGTCCTCCCTGATGGACGGACCTCAGTGGAGGATTTCTGCTTGAAGATCCACAAAAACCTCATCAAAGAATTAAAGTAGTGAGTATTGAGCAGTTAGCTAAAATGAATGAAAAACGATTTATTACCAGGTTGTGCCTTAGTCTCTACAAGGCCACACTACTCAACTCTGAGACCGACAAGACATTGTGGTCATGATTTTATATTTTTTTCTTGAATCATGAAACAGTCCAGTGATGACCCACATCTTTAAGAGTAAAATGGGAGAAATATTAGACTAAGAACTTTTATCATTAAAAAAAAAGAAATCACTGAATAAGCCATTAATGGAAAAAATCAGTTTATTATGGAAAAGCTTGTATCCATTAGTTATCACCTACCCCCCGGATTATTGATCCCGTTTCAGTATGGCAGTGTCTGCTATGCAGAATTTGACTGCATACTACTGTGAAGGGCAAAAATCATTTTACGAGCGCACATCACTAGAAATGTATCCATCCAGCCAATTAGTGGGGGGGGGCAGACTATGCTATCTGTGATCCCCATACAACCTTTTCCCGGAAAGCCTCCTCTAGCTCTGCAGAAGGGAGCAGCCTTGCGTCCTCCCGGGGACACATGTTCGTGCTTGTGTCGCATACAAATGACATGCGCCCATCCTTCTGTTAGGACCTCATTTGTAAAGGCAAACGACCTAAACTGAGCCTTGGTGAGCAGAGCTGACTAGGTACTAATGGAAAATCCCCATAAGTGAGGTTTGGAATAAAGGCTGTCAGGTAAATTGATGGCCGTGCATTCTGTCTCACCCTAACAGAGCAGGACGCTGCCTCAGTCCACCAGTCAATTCCTCACTCTTACTTTCACATCTACAGCTAGTATTTTTTTTTTCCATAAATCTGCTTTAACTGAAAGCAGTTCTTCTCTGCATTTTGTGCAGACTGTCCATGACAGAATAGCCTCTTTGTAAGAGCCCGTTACCATGCTCGGAGATTATTACAAAGACTCATTTTAGCAGATCAATTAGTGGGCTTACATAATAACAGATTTAAATGCTTTGCCATTAAAGTTTAATTGACTGACACCCACTGGTGTTCTTCAGAGAACACTCATCACTCATCCAGTCACCCACCTTGGTGCTAAAACCATGTGCCAGCAGAGGGGCTCTCTGGGCTTTGGGGTTTCTCTCTTGTGCTGTGCTCACTGCCTGCTGCCTCGTACTTGTGTCTTCAGGCTGCTGCTGCTGCCAGCGTCCCTGTTGCAGTGTTGACGATTGGCAACACTTTGTGTTTTGACGCAGTTTCATGCCCCTCCCTCAGCTTTTCGGTAGCTCGTCTTTAGCATGTCATGTGCAAAGACAACGTGCGATTCTTAATGGAATCCGGTGCTCGGTGCATTCCTCTTGACAACCAGACAATGAGATTGATTAGTCTTTTCAGCATAGTACAGGATTCCTGTCCATCACCACTTCTGGGAGATCTTACAATAAAAGATGCAATTTCTTTACAATAAGATTCTCAGACTCACTGCTGACTTTTGTAATGCAGTGGCGGATTTGCATCAGTACAGCCGACTGATGATTCCTCTTAATGTAAAATCGTTCTTTTACATGTAGAGCATTTTCAGGCTTTGCATATCAGCTAAACAAAGGCAGGTATACTTGATGATAAGCTCCATAATGGAAAGCAAAAAAAAAGCTCTGTTCACTCTGTGCTGTGATCAAGTAGCACCCTCCAGCACTCTGTTCACAGAAGCATTTAGTTAAGGCTGGTTTGCAAAGTCTTTGAGCATTTTAAACATTCTGCCTTCGTCTTTGCCTTCCTACACATAATCAGGCAACAAAAAAATAAAAAAATTAAGAGCCAGATGCTGCAGTCTCAACCTGCAGGGGTGAAAATGCTTTATAGGATCAGGCCAAAAGGTATTTAAAAAGGAACCTCAATCACAACATTGTTCCTGTTTGTTATTATGCTGGTGAAGCTTTAGCTTTAGAGTTTAGTCTCTAAAGTTTTTTTTAGAGTTTTTTAAATCTGAGATGGTGTTCTTCACCAAATGGGTGAGCCAACATCCTCCCTATGCATCTTAGTGCCCGTGTAACATTAAAAACATGTTAGTTACAAAAGACAAGGGATCCGTTATCCTCTTCAGTCATTTTACTTGGATTCTCTTAAGATTTGATTGTGATTTTGGACCACTTTCTTTCTCCCAGTGCACTCGTGTGGGGCGCATCTGTGAAACACAACCCTCAAAAGGTGGGCAAGGACCACGTGATGGAGGATGAAGACGTTATCCAGCTGGTGAAAAAATAAAAACAATCTTAAGTCATTGCATGGCCTGTCTATCACAAAGTGTTCTGTACAGCTGCTCAGTAAAACACCAAACATGTCCATCACAGCATTTGTGTCCTGTGGTTTCAAATGGCTGCCTTTCATTTAAAAACGGTGGCACAGATGTGTCACATTGGAAATCTCACAGTACTTAACACCTTGAATAGTTCATATTGAATATTGGTTAAGGCTTGCATTTAAATAAAACTATAATAAAAACATAAACCTTCCTGTCTTCATTCTTATATAATTTTGCCCTTTTAACATCTACATAGAGATGTAGTTATATGTTTTTATATATAAATATATATAGAGAGAAAGATATAACATCAATTAATATAAAAGAAGATTTACTAGTCCTTTAAGCAATCAGTCTTTAGTTTTTTTCTGCACTCAAAATGATTTCATATGTTCCATTTGGTTTGTTGCTTGGTTGGATCAATCAAGCAGCAGCAATACATTGAATGTTTCAGTCCAGCTCGGAGAGGGAAAAACCTGAGTGTCATCTGAAAGCCCTGCTCAGCCCACTGATTTATGTGACATTGATGATGCGAGCAGTTACTCAGGCTGGTGGCCCACTCCCTTTCTGTGGTGGGGACGGCCACTCAGGTTAATCAGTTCATTCACTCTGATGCAGTCTCGGGTCATCAGATGCCAGCTGTTCACAACATTCCGAAGAGGAAAACGAATCCCTTTTCTTCATCGGAGCCGGGAGTTGTCGGTGCTGCTGTTCGCTGATCTCGGCGTGCTGCGGCTTACGTGCAGTGAAGGAGCCATTTTGTGTTCGTACAGACAGCGATTGCAGTGGATGGCGCCAGTCCATGCATGAATAAATAGACAATGATTATTTGTCAGACTGCATATTTGAGAAGTGGAGACTGTATTTCAAACTAAATAGTAAAGTCATGTAGTCAAGTAATTTAAGGAGATTAGACCTCTAATACACAGACTGACATGAAAAAGAAAATAGTGTTGAACGCCCTGCTGTAACAGGTAGGATTGAATGAGTCTAATATGAAAATATAGGTGCTTTAACATACTTTACACATTTGTTAACATTATAGAATAAACTTCAAACTTATCCTTTTGAACCAATCAACATTTTAAAAAAGTCTATCTTCAGCCATTGATGTTCACTGTGGAGAAAAACCTGCATGTAAGAAGCTGACTGTCAAAATGCTCCTTTAATGGTAAAAACAAGAACAAGTTCGAAAGCTACGCTACAAGATAGTAAATGAATGGTTCAGATAACATTCTGACAAGAGTTCATTTGATGTTGTACATTGCAAAATGTTGCAAATCTCGGCACATAGTTGCTTCTTTCTCCATAAAGGCTGCGGTTATTGAGGGTACAGCCTGCCTGTCCAGCTGCGGCCGGATCAACCCTCCTCAGACACCACCTCTTCCCCACCCCCTTTTACCCTGTAAATTATAGCAGCACTTTAGCTAATGAAAGAGTTGAGGACTGGGCACTAATAAAAGCCATTAAGTGAATAAAGCACTTCCCCCTCTAACAAAATTAAAGAATCTACCCATTTAGAGAGGGAGGACTCTGTATTAATATTTATGAAATGCGGATCCTGTACCCCCTCCAAACTCCCCAACCCGCGTCCAATCCCAGACCGACCAAGTCCTCTTTGCCAGTGCACCTATCCCAAGAGAACATCGCCAACCCCTCCTAGCTTGAAGGAGGGGCAGGAGATGGGGACTTGAAGGGTGCTGAGGACGCAGACAGGACAGTCTGTCTCCAGTAGAGCAAGCTGGAAGACCCCGAGACACGGCTCAGATCCTCCAGTCGTCTTCACCCCTAAACAACTTGCATCCCAATTCAACTTTGAAGCGGAAAGGTGGGTGTCCTGGTAAAACCTGAGGAAAGCCTAGGGAAGTTATCAGTAACAGGCAGAGTAAGTTAAGGATCTCCTGTTCGTAGTGTTTAACGGGCAATTTGTGAAATTGGTTTGTTTGTTTGTATGAAAAGAATTTGTTGCAGTTTGTTGTTTTGTCTTCATATTTCCAATTGTACCAACAAAAAAAATTGTTAGAAACTCTATGACAGCATTTTGTAAAAGAAGGAAAAACTCCCAAAAATCCAAGGTAAGAAAGCATGATGACGTTTCATAACCATCCGTCCATCAAAACCATCCCATCAGCTTCTCCACAACATCCCAAAAACATTGTCCTTGTTCTTCAAACCTTGGTGTGTCTCCCTGCCGTCAACCACCATCTACCGCCAAAAGTGCTCCCATTTCACCACCATTTGGTCACCACAAATCCAGGGTTTGCTTGTCTCTCACTCATCTGCAGTATGGTGTCATTTCATCACACAAAGAGGTTCAATCGCTTGAGCTCTAAGTTGATTATGGCCCCATGCTTTCTCATTTTAGTAAGATGTCCCTAGGGGAGCTGAAAGAGACTCTGGAGAAGGTAACAAGATTGTGATCCCTTTTGAGTAAACGGTTCCCTTAGCCAGATGGTATCATCATGACTCTTGACATTGCTCTCGCTGTCCAATAACACAGTTAGAGCCAAAATCTCAGAAGTAGTTGTGTTTCGTTGAAGAGATGGCAAATGTCTTCAGATGGACAGCAGCGATAAAGCTATCAGTCTTGAGGTCAATAGGACACCGGGGCTTGTTTCGAGTCAATTACCAGAAAAATGTCAGGTTCTGGACTCTATGAAATGCAATGGTTCTTAACAAGATGACCGAAACTCGGTTTTCATTGATCACTGGGAGAGTTCCCACTGGACCGATGGGGAAGCTAATCTAATCAAACCAGGTTTCTCGGTGCCTACAATGAACGTGTTTTTTTTTTAATGGTTGACTATTTTACTTTTCAGATGATCAAATCAGATTTTTTTCATTTTTATTTGGTTTTACTTCAGTCTAGAGTTGGGCGAGAAGGGCGAGAGGGTGTGGTTTGACGCAGTTCGTGCGCAGGAAGGGTGTAGCCCCGTATTCCGCAGTGAGCACGACCTATGACTAATCTTTCCTTTTATTGTCCTGCAGATGTTCTTCGCAGCAACTTGTTACGATACCTCTTGTACCCAATGTTTAATTTGGGGTGGCTTTTTAAAAAAAAAACATCTAACCATGATCAGCAATCCTCTCCCAAATACATTTTGGACATCTTTTATTTTCATTTAAGGATTCGACCAAAATGTTGGACAGTCCTGTAGTGACGACCAAGAAAGTACTCTGATAAAAATGTGTTTTTCAGGATTTTTTGAGGTTCCCTGGGATCACAGAAGAAGACTCACGTTAGCCTTTTTACATCGACACATAAGTCGATAAGCGTTTGTGTGGTCTGGACGCTGAATGCTGGTTGGGACCTGCCGGAACTGAACTGGGTTATCTGTCTTTGCCCAGGACTCCATTGTGCTTGATCTAACCATGCAGTGCAAATTCTGTCCATGGTTGTGCCAAGCACCTTGGAGGCTTGTGAGCTTTATCTGCGCTTCATTTTAGACTGCCAAGATTTTGAAAAAGATAACTAATTGTACATTTCAACATTTTTTTAAGTATGGAACAGTAAATTAGAACTAAAACAGCGAAAAAATAAGATGTTGCCTCATATACTGAGATCGCTCTCTTTTAATTTTGCATTCAGAAATGGCTGTTTTACCTCACGATGTATTAAAAAACTGAACTCTGACCAATAAATACCATGAATCTTGTGTGTTTTAATGGAATATTGCAATTCTGAATAAAAAGATTCATTTTCGTCTCATACTGGCTGTCTGGTCAAAATATGTCCAATTTATGGGACAGATCAATTACAGAAAGTGCTCAGTGGCTTTTTAACTCTGTCTCATCATTTCAGTTGGTAGAGGTCATAAATTGAAACAATGTGTCCTCTGTTTGGTCTGCAGATGCGTCACAGATCTATAAATCAAAACGCGGGACACTGCTGCACTTATACAGAAACACACAAGTGTTTCAGGCTTGGTTTATATTCTTGAAATGATCATCGAACAACATCACTGCAGAGGTTGAGATTTTATTTGAAATTGAGTAGGTGTTATTTTGAAACGAAACTAATGCTTAAAACCAATAGATTTCACTTATGGAAATCAGACTTGACCTTTTCTTTAGTTCATTCTTTTTCTTTCTATCCAGTACTTTGCGTAGGCTTCTGCGGGTCTTACCGACAAAACAGATCCAAACATAAACATACAGTTAGTGATCACAGGTCAAATGAACCTGCTGCCCTGCCTTTTTATGCTGAAACCGAAAAAGGTTGGAGATACATTTATCAACACATGAATATATATTTTCATTTCTTGAAAAATACACCCTTCCTGAACTTAGAATAACTATGTTAAAGCCTCAAAATTATTTAGGTACATTATCCTAAAAATAGGTGCCATCGAATTTACTATGGAGGACATTGCATAACATTTTATATTCCTAATTCCAAGCTGCCGTCTATAATACAATTTAATTAATTTTTTACATGATTGTTATTCAGCTGGCACACACGTTTTTGTGGAATCTGAATGATTTAATTGAGTATAGTGGCGGCAGAAGCAGAAAGCAGGGTTCAGATGCCTTTCAAATGTGCAGAGACACCTTTCCTTTGTCGAGCTTCGTGAGCCTCTTAGAAAAGGATTTTTCTACATACAGATCAGATAAAACATGACAGCACCATAAGAATCAGGCTGTCTGCTGTTGATGCCTGTTCATTTGTGCTTGAAAACATCTATCACATTTAACTGTTGGCTGCTTTCTGGGTTTTACATTGATATAAAAATGTATACACAATCCTGGAACACCAAATATTCTCCCTCCTCTTTTAACAGGTAAAAATATATCATAGTAAATAAAATGTTGATTTAACCCCATGCAATCAAAATACATTTTTTAGTTTGTGCCCTTCCAAAATTTTATTTGGCTGCCTTTGGATGATATATTAGAAAAAATAAACATTTTAAAATTTCTCACCTTGACTGTAAGCAAATAATAATTTAATAGTACATTCTACTTCAGCACATTGCTTACAATTAGAATGAATGGCATTTTTACAAAGGTGCTCTCTGTAAAGTTTGGAACCTCCCTGCTGTCTGTAACCTTTCCCCTGGTCAGGGAATGTGAGGTGTTAAAGATTATCCCATTAGACTGAAGCACAGAGGCTGTTTGGTACCAGCGTAATGCTAATCATCCGTTCCTCTGGCAGGACCGGCTCAAAGCTGCTCTCCAATCACAAGCTGAACACAATAAAATACACAGAAAGACGTTTATTTGATCTGGTTAGACACTGTTCCCTCGCAACATGACTTCTGAAATCTTCAGGTTTTTACAAGCGCAAAAGCTCATAACTGACAAACGGCAGCTCAACACCACAAATGCTTTACTGCCTGCAGAGAAAAAACTAAATCATGTCTCAAAAACACTTGTGGACCAGTGCAGGCTGCACAAAGCTGTCTACAAATAATCAAGATTAAAATGTTACATTCACACACAAGCTTACATCAGCAAATATGGCATGTTTAATTGAGTTAATGAGATTCACATTTTTGTTAAACCATAAGAAAAGATCAGTAACAAGCATTTCATCTCACATATGAAGTATCTCAAATCACACACTGCCATTTTTGTGGGGTTTTTGTCGTAAAACAGACTCTACAACAAAGATAGAAACAAACATTTCTGACGATGGGGAGCATAGCAGGGTTAAAAAAAATGTGGCATCCGTCACAAAAAAAACAAACAGTCGATTCACTCAGATGTACCAGTGACACAAACTTTGCCAGTAAAATTTAGCACGGGTGATTTTTGATTGTAATAAACACACTGTTAGAGTGTCTGTGTCAGTCTGTAAACAGTATTTAATTAGATGTTATAGTCTACATCATATTATGCTCTTTTTACATTCATTTATCCTCCCTTCCTACAGATAATTTCAAATACATCAAGAGTTACCAGGGTGAATGCTATAGGGTCTGAGAAGAATCCACATGAATACAAACTGACTAATGGAAACTGAGAAGAAAAATGTTAGGTGTTTAGCACACAAATGGCCGTCCAATCCCAGGTTATCGCTTTATGAGTGTACAAGATCAACAGTAACACACGCAAACACATGGAAAAAGTCCCAGAGTGCAAACTACAGTGAGGATCAGGAGAAAATGATGCGAGCTGAGATCGGACAACCTAAACACTGTTCACTCAAATGAAATGCGAATGGCCTGTGGTGTGGCACAAGTGTTCGACGTTACTCTTAAAGGACACTGGCTGCTCCTCTGTACAACTGACTGGAAGTACATTAGTACCATTTTATATGAGGATTTATGTGGTTGTTATAAGACACTATCCCCCTCATGTAGAAGGACTGGTTCATCTTCACAAGGCCAGCAGCTTTGAACACTTGCTGTGAGAAAGACAGTGTGAGACCTGAACTGTGCTCAATGCAAACTCGCATCATCTTCAAAGCACAGAGTAAAGCTTTACATTTGTCTACTCAAGATATCTGGAAAACTTCCCCAGACACTGAGTGATTTTGTTTGAGCTTTTATCAAATTTCTCCTGATGAGTAATAAAAACAAAATCTTCCATGCTTCAATCAAACAGGAAAAAACATGCTTTGAATTCCGTGAAATGAAGGAGCCTCTAAGTGTTCTCCACAGATGTCGGGTCTTCGTCTGCTGAGTCCTTAGATTTCACCACTATCGTCCATCTCATAAGCCAGTTCAGTGTCAGATGCTGCAAAATCAGATTTGTGGCTTAAAGTCACTCTGAAGCCTCTGGCTCAATCACGTATGTGCTGGCCGTCTGAACAGTTTAACATTTAACTTTTGTCGCATGACAGATGACAATCCATAGAACGTTAACTTAGGAAAAATGCTGCTTTGACAAAAGCATCTCTATGGATACAAAATTTGGCTGGCTCTTACCAATAGTCGCAGGACGTTTGTCGGTATCAAAGACTGCAAAGATGTTCAATCATTTTGGCTGGCTCAGAAAAAAACAACACGTATATAGTGCCAAAGCCATCACTCTTGTTCCACAGAAACAAGGAGGTCAATGCTCTCGCCAATGCAGTCTCGTTTTTCTCGAGAAATCCCATTTTCAACCGGTACAACGTCTATGGATAGACATGTGTCCTTAAATTCCAAACTTCATTATCAGGTTGTGATGTGCCCCCTTTAAGTGGGGTTGGAGGGTTTAATTCGGACTTGACTGCAAGTGAAAACACACTGACAAAAATGTATCCATCTCAAGCGTAGATCTGCCCAGAACCACCTGTGTGTGCCTTTTCTCCACTGAGGCGCTCCTGGCCTGGCTGCCGGTTGGAGTCGCTGGATTTAATGACACCCGTGTAGTCGTGAACCCCAACTTCTAAGTTTTTGGCCCGCAGAGCAGCAGTATGCAGCTTCTCAAGGAAATCTGGCATACCTGACATGGAGTTGAGGGAGAGGGACACAGAAACGGGGTAAGGAACGTGCACTGGCCACATAACACGATATGTCAGGATGAATACAAAGTGAAGAAAAAGGAATCCATAGTGACTGATTATACAGTGAACATTCAGATTCCAGTTTTAAGTGTGAGAATCTCGTTCCAATTTGACTAGGAACCAACTACATTTAGGGAGAAAAAAGCTCACCACTTGACACCATCCAGCTCACACAGTAACGGGGAAACACAGTCTGTGGGTCGTCACTGTAGGTCAGAAGGTAATCAAATCCATTCTGAAAAGAGAAAGCCACCAATAAAATCTCAGAAATGTAAAAGAATAGAATCGTATGCATGTTTATAAAACATCAAATGCACCGCAAACCTCGTCAAAGGACTTATGAGGGCGAATGACCATTTTGGACTGGTATGCGTGGACTCTCACAAAGTCCTGCGTCTCTGGGACTTTAGGATGCTGCACAGCTCTTCACAAGAAAAAAAGAAACAACATTTGATGACTACATGAACAGAAAGCTATATATTCTGTGGGGTAAAAAATTGTAAAGAAATAAATTATGCATATATTTTTTTGAAGTCCTACCTGGATACCAAGATCATCAGGTTATTGTCAATGTCAACTTCATAACGACGCACATACACATAGTCCCTCGAATACAGCGGATACTGCAACGAGAAATTAAACAAAATAAGCTACCAACAGCAAGACATTAATCATTACGATCATCTACACAAGGAGTTTAAAGATCTTTCTTTTTTGCCTCCATTACAACAAAATAAAAACGATAAAAACAACTGAAAAAATAAACAGTTGAACAGCAAACTCACAGGAAAGTGTGTTGCCCAGTGCACCACTTCTGAGCCTGTGTTGGCATCTCTGTCCACCACGTCAAGCTTGATAACCAAAGAATCCCACTTTTTCCTATACTCTGTGTCCAACTGGGGTAAAGGTGAAGAAAAACAAACGTATTCAAATATAGCACATACATGAAGAACAGCTGGGGAATGACTATGATAAACTAGGTGTCACAGAAATATGTGGAACCCAGTCTATGATTAAATAACCATGTTAAAAACATTCAAGTCCCCTGATCACGAGTTCTATCCATTTCTATGAACTACGTTTAGGTGCCAAGGTTCAGATGTTCAGGAGCTAAAAGACTGCTGGGTATTTAAATTCCTGTGAAGGAACAAGGAGTGCAGGTCAGCCCCCTTCCTTCTGGAGATTTCTTACTGGAAGCCAGAAGCCAAGTAGAATCAGCACTTACTAGGTAAACTCTTAAGATTATTATAAGACCATTTCCATTATCAATACTGCTCATCAACCCAGTTCCTTATCAGTTACCTTCCTTGGCCTATTTTATTTATTTATTTATTTTTAAGGAAGAGCAACTTGACTTTAAAAAAATGACTTTAAACAAAAAGAAAATACTCTTTTCAAATGTAACTATACTTTGGATGACTTCTAGATCCATGTTCTGACCCCCCCCCCCCATCTGTTTTTTGACGTTTTTATGTTTAATCAGAATAAACAGGCTTGAAAGACTCTGATGGTTTGAATCATTTGGAATCTGTTCTCTATTCCAGGCCGGAGTAGTTTCGCTTGACTGCTTCCCTAATAGAATCTGACACTGACAAAGTCACATAATAAGATTTAGGGTGCCTCTACCTGTACATTGAAGAACTGTCTTGGCGTGACATCACAGTAGGAACCCAATACTGAAAGTTGAGGAAAGATGTATAAATGAAAGTGGGTGACTCTTATGAAGCACACGTAGATAATATTCAGTTATAGAGTAAAATGTGACAAAATGAGACAGATTCTGAGATAGCTGACCTCTGTATTCATAGAGGTGACTGTCGGGAATAGGTCGCTTCCACACTCTGAAATCTTTCTTCTCTACCACAGCTTCCCAGCCAGCTTCCAGATGTTCATTCAGGGAGTCTGAAGATGTGTGGTGACGTTTTACAGTTTCAAGGGCCTGCAGCTCAAGGCCACACCTGGAAGAGGATATCAATGATACATGTAGCTATGCAAAGTCTAAAAACAAATAAAGATAACAAAGATAAAGGAAAACAATATGAACTGCTGTGGTAAATATGCAAATATATAATTAGCAACACTGATACTTGGAAAGATTCAAATTACTTCACAAAAGAGTGGACTTTTAAAAGGTTAACTTATGTTTAACATTTCGGTGACAGAAATACAAGCTTATAAACAAAATTCAGTTAGCTGGAGATGTAAAGATTCAGTGGTCTACTGCATTTCGAAAATAACTACAAATCCACGTAAATTAAGCAATATTTGCTTATCTATTCAGATTTCATCCAACGTCAACAAATGGCAAAAAAATGTACGAATTCATAAGTTTGGAGACAGATTTCCCACCTGCGTAATTCCTCATCTTGAATCTTCTCGTTCTCCCACATGAAGACCCCTGCCAGGGCCGCCACCAGTTTTCCAGTAGGGGCGTGCTTGCTCTGAAATCTCCGCCAAATGTTGCCGACCAGGGTCCACCTGGTTCGCTCCGAATAAAGGTTCGAGTACAGCTCGCATATCTGGCACGCGCGCCGGAGTCTCTGACCGGTCACAAAGCCACAATGGTCCGCGAATATGGAGAGCAAGCCCTTCTTCTTCTGACCCGTGGCTTGGCTGGCACCCGTTTCTGCCCTCTGGAGCCAGGACAGCAGCAGGCCCACGTTCCTGCCCAGCCACGGCACCTTTTCCAGCTTCCCTCTGCCCTCTTCGACCGCATGCCGAAATGACCTGCAGCCCTGGAGCCTCAAGGCCACGCTCATCTCACAAATTGGACGTCGAGGCACGGAGTGAAGCATGACAGCTGTGACCGTGACACAAGGTCCCGAAGACGAGAGAAACACTACAGATAGCAATGTGCAGAAGCAAGCGTGGCTAATGACCTTTACAGTCTGAACTAATGCTCTGCAGAGAAACGCCAAGCATTATCACTAAGGTTGACTAGAAGAAGAAATGCTCACAATTTAATGGCGGTAGTTACGCTGCCTGTGCAAAAGTGAGCGAACACGCGACATGTAACATTAGCATTAGCTACCTCTCTCCGTTGGCTCTCTTCGTGTTGAGCTGCAGACAAACTAATATACACCGCAACAACACTACTTGTATTTCCTAGCATGAACCGTAATACTTTTTAGATAGGTTAAAGACTCTATCGGACCTTTACCTAACTGTTTACTCTCGCTGGAGGTAGCCTCACGTTTCAGAAACTCATACACAGTATTTGACCTCCTCTTCCTATTGTCTTGAACACGCCCACATCTGATGCACGCCTTCACAAATGAAAATGTTTTCATTCATTGGTTGCTGATCACCAATGGACAGTTTTTATTGGCTCATGTAGGTGCCTGTCATAACTACGTCGGCTCAGACACTAGCATGTGCGTATGTCCAACTCTTTCTGTACCAGCTTCATCATTTAATTTCTTTGCTGAGCTGGGATCACAATTATTGTTAAAGCCCTTGAGCAACCTGAGATAATCCAAGATCATAATCAGGTCCAGGATCAGTCTCATAGAAGTAGAAGTAAATGTGAAATTGGAGTTTCTCTCGAGCGGTCATCAGTATTAGGTAAATAGTTGCAGGAAGGGCGTGTGTTGGATAATAGTTGGAAAAATACATCACGACAGATGCTACGCTTTTAACTTAAGATAAACAAATAACAAAAAAATGCAGCAGTGATCACAAGAATAGTATCTATTTGCCATTGACTAAAATCAATTTTTAGAAGACTGTTCTCCCGATCCGAGTAGAAGCACAGTAGAAAAAAAAGATCAGCAAAAAGCTACTCGAATTGAACCCTCGATTAATCTTGTCATCTCCTGAAAAAATATGAATGACTAATTTATGTAATATATTTTGCAGTAACATGGCTTCAACGACAGGGAGTAACAGAGATTTGCATTTGATATGCTGTCCATGTACGCTAGATGGCGCTGTTTTATTGCTCAGACGTCAGGAAAGCAAGATGACTATAAATAAACTTTTGAGGTTGAGACGCTCTATTGTAAATGTGATGATAGTGATCTATATCCCCCCCCTTTTTGTCTGACAGTATATAATTGAATATTAATTCTGCGATGTGGTTGTTTCAATTCAAAACCTATAAGGACCCGACCAAATGTTGCTCTTATTGAAAACCTTGATCACTTTATTATCATCGGGGAAAGGAGATGAGTACGTAATGATAAATATATAAGAAAATATTAGACAACAGAGAAAACAGCAGCAGCCACGATCCTATCAAAGATAAATGGCACATGTTCGCTAGATGACGCCATTTTACCGTACAATGGGTTAGTGTTCAGTCTGGAGGCCTTAGCATTCATATTCATTACCCTTTTCACTGTTAAAAATTAAGCTAAAGTAGATAAACTACATACAGAAATTCTGCACTTTGATAGTGAGCAATAAAGACTCGGGCTTTGTGGCAATCTACCCCTATAAATGGAAACTAACCAAGTATTTTTATCTCAATTGTCTGATAAAAAAAGATGTTTGAAGGTTTTGTGTATTTAATGAGCCATAATCGCGATTATTTTGTCTAGGTAACAAACTGTTACTTAACATTATTATTATTGTTAATATTATTATTGTTGTTACAGTACAAATGGCTCAAGTGAGAACACTTCCTTTGAAATCATGTGTTAGTTACTAGTGATGAATATCTCCATAATCAGACCACCAAGTAAAGTCTAGAAACTTGGAGCCATACATTGTAGTATAGTTTATCAGAATAACATTTAATTTTCATTGCTCCGTAGAATTGATATTGCATGTAAGGTTTTGCATTACATGAATGTTTCGAAAAGTTGCATAAAGGATATAAGCTTTATCTTTTAATGAAAAGGAAAAGGAAAAGATGTACCACTAAGTATAAAGTCTTCTTATTTGTATTTTATGCATTATGAGTTAGCTCTTCCTGATGGTCTATTCAAATTTCCCATGATTTGGTGCCAAATAGGCGCATGTTAGTTATTGTCCTTTGCTTTCATTGCTTACTTTCGTGCAAGTGGGGAGTAAACAGGAAGGGAGTAAACAAGTTGAGAGTAAAAAGGCGTTATAAAATGTGTGGCTGAGGTGGGAGTAAAGGAAAACGCAAATTATATATTTAGAGGTAACGAATGGAGTTCTGGAATTTACCATTGTAAAACCATAAAAGTCGGATGAGTAGTTCACATGCAATTGCCACTCCCTCTTTCGCCAAGTGTTGCATTCACGGACTGGAATGATAATAGCGATTTAGAGAACCACATTCGCTCCTGACATACAGGGGTCATGGGATTTTTCCATGATCCTTGAATCGAGACAGTTAAGGGCATGGCTGAGTAGTTGTGAAATGCCAAATCACGTGCTGTAGCAGTTTAATTATTGCTTATACTACACAACCTTTGTTGTTAATAGAATTGTCATTGTTTTGTACATTTTAACAGGTACACATCATTAAAGACGTAACTCCCAATCTATTCAGTAGCCAGGAATATGTTTGCGTTGTTTATTAAGCACTGCTTTGATTACGTATATTACGTCACTGTCTACGAACAAAAAATGGTAAGCAAAGAAAACAACTTTTGTTCGAGACTGAGTGTATAATTTCCAGCTGACTGCCCTTCAATGAGTGACAGGTCCACAGAAAATAGACTGTTTGCTCATTCAGTTTTAAAGGCAGAATTGTGTTTTTAAAAACTGCATGTTTGCTTTTAGATTTACTTTTGTAATGGCAGGCAATACTTAATGAAAAGATAGATAGATAGATAGATAGATAGATAGATAGATAGATAGATAGA